ATTCCCGGTCAGGGCGCAGGCCCGGGTTGTGGGCTCCATCCCCAGTGTGGGGCGTGCAGGAGGCAGCCGGTCCGTGATTCTCTCTCATCATGGATGTTTCTCTCTCTCCCTCCCCCTTCCTCTCTGGAATCAATAAAGATATATATTTTTTTAAATAAACAAATAAAAATAAAAGAACAGCGAACGAATACAGAGCCCGAGTTATTCAGGTGCGTGCTGAAGGGTTTAGGCGTGAACTGCAGTGTCGCCTGAAGGTCATTTGGAAACAAGGAGGAGGCGTGACGGACAGAGGGACGGCGAGACGGGTGGCCACCTGGGAGGCAGGCGGAGTCCATCTGGCTCTGCCCACCAACAGCCCGTCCTTCCACCACCCCGTGTGTGAGAAGTCGCAGGCACCTGCCGGGGTCTGAGGCCCCAGCGAGCGGCGGTTCTGGCGCCTGAGCAGGGACTGGGGGGTGACCTCTGACCCCGCACGGCGGGGCGCCAGCATGGGAGCAGCGGGTGCACGGGGACCACGGCTGGGCTACCGCTCAGCACAGGGCTCAGAGCCAGAGCGTGGGTGTGGGAGGGGGGACATGCAGGTTCCCAGGAGACCAGCTGTGGGGGTCGAGTCACTGGCCAGAGCTCTGACCCCCTGAGCTAAGGGGTCACCATGACTATTTTTGTTCTTTTATTCTTTACTGGAGGCCCGGTGCATGAATTCATGTACTCAAGGGGCAGAGGAGATGGGGGGAGGGGTGGTCCTCAGCCCAGATTGCAAGAGGGCGCAGGCCAGGCAGAGGGACCCCACCGGTTCACGATTGGGGCGGGGGGGGGGACAGGGGGTGTGGGAGGTTGGCTAGCCGGGGAGGGACCCTGGGAGGGCCTGTCTCGTTCAGCTCCGATCGGCCAGATCCCAGCAGCAAGCTCACCTACCGGTCGGAGCGTCTGCCCCCTGGTGGTCAGTGCACATCATAGCAAGCGGTTGAACAGCCTTAGCATATCATTAGCATATTGTGCTTTGATTGGTTGAATGGCTGACTGGATGACCAGACACTTAGCATATTAGGCTTTTATTACATAGGATTTTAAATATATTTTTATTGATGTCAGAGAGGAAGGGAGGGGGAGAGATAGAAACACCCATGATGAGAGAGAATCATGGATCGGCTGCCTCCTGCACGCCCCACACTGGGGATGGAGCCCGCAACCCGGGCCTGCGCCCTTGACCGGGAATCGAACCCTGACCTCCTGGTTCATAGGTCGACACTCAAACACTGAGCCACACCAGCCAGGCTCCATGATTAATTTTTAAAAACTAGAGGCCCAGTGCAGGAAACTCAGGCACAGGTAGGGTCCCTGGTGACTGCCGGGGCCTCCCTTCATTCCGCGCCGCCCCCTGGTGGTCAGCACACATCATAGCGAGCGAGTGAGCAAACTCCTGGTCGGTCAAACTCCCGAGGGGACACTTTGCATTTTGCATTTTAGGCTTTTATAGACATAGATGCTGCCAGCAACCCAGACTGGATGGGAGTGCACTACCAAGCTCCCAGCCCTGGCTCCCACCCAACTCCTCAGGCAGCACCTCCTCCTCCAGGAAGCCCGCCCTGACCACCAGCTGGGTCGCCTCCCCAGTGAGCGCGCCGGCCCCTGGCCCTCTCGGCCATCTGTGTGCGTGTAAAACTGTCCCATGTTGTCCCTGGAGCCCAGCGCTGGGGCACGGCACGCCCTGGCCGAATGGGCTGGACGCGAGGTCCCAGCGTTTGACAAAGTGACTTCATCCTTTGCTGGTTGAAGATAAATAGAAACTGGGCTGTTGGCCCGGAGGCCAGGAAACTCGCCTTGGCTCCGTCTGTTTGTCCCAGGCGCTCGGTCACGGAGCTTTAACTGCCGGAGTCGCACCGCAGGGTCTCCAGTGGCTTAGTTTCTCCCCAAAGAAATGTTGGGGGGAGGGGGGTTTGGGGGGAAGGTCGGAACTGCAGCAGACTCCCCCTCAAACCTGCCCCCGCCCCCCCCCCTGCACCCTCCCTGCCCACAGCCGGCCTGGGGCTCCCAGGTCTGCAGGCGCGTGGCTCCGTGTCCCAGCGGCAGGATGAGGCCCCCGTGGAGGACCCAGCGCCGGGGACACACCACCCAGCAGGCCACGGGCCGGCACCTGCACTTGCGCACAGGACAGTGTCCCAGCCAGGGAAGGCGTGTCCCAGCCACGGGGGGCGTGTCCCAGCCAGGGAGGGCGTGTCCCAGCCACAAGGGCGTGTCTCAGACTTGGGAGGGAGTGTCCCAGCTAGGGAAGGTGTGTCCCAGCCACGGGGGGCGTGCCCAAGTCACTGGGGGTGTGTCCCAGCCCTAGGGGGCTGTCCCAGCCACGAAAGGGCGTGTCTCATCCACTGGGGGTGTGTCCCAGCCAGGGAGGGCGTGTCCCAGCCACAGGGGCGTGTCCTTAGCGCTGCTGTGTGAGGCCTGGCCTGTGGGTGTCCGTGCGTCCCTGCCCACCCAGCCTTCCCACAGCAGGGCGCGCAGAGCAAAGCAGGGCCCGTGCGCCTTTATCCGCTGATGTTGAGGGGTGTTGCCAGCAGAGGCCGAGCTGGAGGGGAGATGCCAGCAGAGCCCCCGGGCACCCGGCACCGGGCACGGGCATCGGGCACCCATTCCCACGGCTGGCACGGCTCTGTGAGAGCTCCCAGGCCAGGCCACGGCCCCGGGCAGCCACGCGCGGCCACGGGCCACTGCAGGGTCCGGGGCCCAGGGGTCAGCTGGCATCTCCCCTCCAGCTCGGCCTCGCTCTCCCTCACAGGCGGGGCTCCCAGGGGTGCTCCGCTGTGACCCTCACCACCAGTACCTGTGAGTCTGTTGCCAGGGAAACCGACCACAGACGGCGATGCGGCCGGGACAGGACGTGGCAAGGCCGCCCACGAATAACGCGGTTTAGGGAACATGGGGCACCCACACCCCCAGCCCCAGCCCGGGGACCTCCGCGGGGTAAATGCGCCTCCTCTACCCCCAGGGGGACCAGTGAGCGCCTGGCCCGGGTGCCCCGAGATCGCCGTGTCCCCTGGGCGCCCCTCGGGGGCTGACCTGCTCGCTCGTCACCCACGTGCCGCTCGGGCCGCCCCCACCGCTCGCTGCTGCGCGCCCCGCCCCGCGGAGGAGGCTGTGCCCCGGCAGCGGACAGGCCCCGGACCCCGCAGCCTGCGCCCCGGGGGGCGCCCCGCCCACGCCCGCCGCCCGCACGGCTTAGAGCCGCTCCCGCGGAGCACGTGGGCCCGGGAAGCGGGCGCAGCTCCCCTCCCACCCTCGGGACCAGTTTGCTGGGAGGCCAGCTCCCAGCGCTGACGCCCCGCCAGCGCTCACTGCGGAGCGGTTCAGGATCAGAGCTGCTCCTGGCCCCTGCCCCGCCCCCTGCCCCTCGACCCCCTGGCCCCGCCCACTGCCTCTCTGGCCCCGCCCCCTGCCCCCACGACCCCCCCCTGGACCCGCCCCCTGCCTCTCCGGCCCCGCCCCCTGCCCCACAACACCCCCTGGCCCCGCCCACTGCCTCTCCGGCCCCGCCCCCTGCTCCACTACCCCCCTGGACCCGCCCACTGCCTCTCCGGCCGCGCCCCCTGCCCCCGCCCCTGGACCCGCCCCCTGCCTCTCCGGCCCCGCCCCCTGCCCCCCCGCCCCTCCCTGCCCCCTGCCCAGGCTCAGAGTTGCTCCTGCCCCTGCCTCCCGGCCCCGCCCCCTGCCCCACGACCCCCCTGGACCCGCCCCCTGCCTCTCCGGCCCGCCCCCTGCCCCCCCGCCCCTCCCTGCCCCCTGCCTCTCCGGCCCCGCCCCCTGCCCCACGACCCCCCTGGACCCGCCCCCTGCCTCTCCGGCCCCGCCCCCTGCCCCCCCGCCCCTCCCTGCCCCCTGCCCAGGCTCAGAGTTGCTCCTGCCCCCTGCCTCCCGGCCCCGCCCCCTCTTTACCGGTCCCTGGGCCCGCCCCCGGCCTCCCGCTCCCTGCCCCCTGCTCCCCGCACAGGTTTCTGGAGGGAAAGGAGGAGGCGGTCCTGAGCAACCATCGGATGTGGTGTCCCTGCCGCGGATGCGAACCCCAAGTGCCGGGGACAGGGACCCCCGAGTGTGAGGGTCTGGTAGGCTCCGGGGGTCCCTGCGCCCCCACCCTGGTGCCCCCAAGCAGCCTCTCTGTTCTGCCCCGGCAGGACCCTGCCCCCTGGCATTCACGTCTGATGCTCCGGGCGGTGCCGGCAACACCCACAAGAAAGTGGACGCTTAGAAACCCCTGCCCCGGGCTGGCTCAGGGGGTGAGCGTTGACCTAGGAACCAGGAGGTCAGGGTACCTTGGAACCAGGAGGTCAGGGTACCTTGGAACCAGGAGGTCAGGGTACCTTGGAACCAGGAGGTCAGGGTACCTTGGAACCAGGAGGTCAGGGTACCTTGGAACCAGGAGGTCAGGGTTCGATTCCCGCTCAGGGCACAGGCCCGGGTTCCGGGCCCGGGTTCCGGGCTCGATCCGGGAGGCAGCCGATCTCAGGATTCTCTCTCATCATTGACGTTTCTCTCCCCCTCTCCCTTCCTCTCTAAATCCAATAAAAATGTTTTAGAAAGAAAGAGAAAAGAAAAGAAAAGAAAAGAAAAGAAGAGAAAAGAAAAGAAAAGAAAAGAAAAGAAAAAAGAAAAGAAAAGAAAAAAGAAAAGAAAAGAAAAGAAAAGAAAAGAAAAGAAAAGAAAAGAAAAGAAAAGAAAAAGACAAGGCCAGGCAGGCTCAGTCTCCCCACCTTGGGGGTCTGGCGAGCCCCCCCACGCGCCCTGCCAAGCAGCCTCGGGAGCTCAGCCCGGACACTGGCAACAGAGCGGGCCCTGCGGCTCCGCGCGCGCGCGCGCGCGCACACACACACACACACACACACACACACACACACACGTGTGCACAGGCTCCGCACACGTGAGCAGACGCACACGCACCCTGCGCGGCTCCCCATCCCGGGGAGCCACTGCGCGCCCTCCTCCCCCGCTCCGCGGAGCCCCCACGCACTCACCGGCGCCCCTGCGAGGGAAGATCCTCTTGTGCAGACCCATCCGCGGGGCCGGAGGACGGCGGGGACCCGGCGGGGCCTCCGGGGCGGCGGGGGCGGATGTGGAGACGAGTTGAAACTCCCCTAAAACTCCGCTGGGACGCTCCCCTGGGCAGGGAGGGAGGGAGGGGGGTCCCTGCCCAAGCCCCCGAGCCCCCGAACCCCCGGGCCGAGCCCGCAAGTCCTGGGCGAGCGTCGGGGCGCCTCGCTTGCAGCCCTGCCCTCCGTGCGCGCGCGCGAGCAAGGGTGCAGGGAGCGAGGTTACCCCCAAAGCGCGCTTCTCCCTGCGCCGCAAACAAATGCAAAACCGCGACCTCAGGCCTCCCTCTGGCCTCGCAGCCCGGAGACGAGGTCCAAGGTGTGGAAATCGCTACAGTGTTCGGCCCTCCCCCCTCCCCCCGCGCGCGCACACACACACACACACACTCTCTCTCTTTTCCTTGCAGGCGCGCGGGCGTGTTTCTGGACGTGCCAGCGACACACACACGCGGCCCCGCGCGCCCTCCAGCCCTGGGGTGATTCATTTTCTCCTGGGCGCGCAGTGAACACGCCTTTTCATGAAACCCGCCCGCCCGGGCGCGGGCTCAATGCGGCCTGTGTGTCCCCGGGCCGGGCAGGGCGCGGCGGCCAAGGTGGAGGGAGGCTGGTTTCCATCAAGACGCGCAGTCACTCCGGGACGGGACCGGGAGAGTGGCCGCCAGCCCCGCCCAGGCCCGGGCTCTGGAGTCCCACCAGCCCTGGCCACCCTGTCCCGCTCCCTGCCTGCTCCTACCAGGAGGGCCTATTTTTAGATTTGGAAAAGACGGACTATTACTTTAAAGGACCCGTTTGTTTTGCGTGTGTGTGTGTGTTTTAAAAATATATTTCTTTATTGATTTCAGAGAGGAAGGGAGAAGGAGAGAGAGACATAGAAACATCAATGATGAGAGAGAACCAGGGATCGGCTACCTCCTGCCGGACACGTGCCCTTGACTGGAATCGAACCCAGCACCCTTCAGTCTGCAGGCTGCTGCTCTATCCACTGAGCCACACCAGCCAGGGCCACACACACCTTTACATAACCATATTCTTCAGGCGGTGCTGTGTGGCCAGAAACCCTGGCTCTGGGCACCCAGAGTCAGAACAGCTCCCCACAGTCAGCATCTCCCTGAGGAGGAGGATTGAGGCCACAAGGGACTGTCCCCCCCGCCCCTCTTCCTCCCCGCCACCAGCGCCAGGGCTCTGAGTAACACCCAAGGCCCGGCCTGGGAGTTCAAGAGGCCTGGCTGTGCCTTGAACCCGAGGCCGGCCTGCCCGGCCTGTGGCTCATGGGGGCAGGCCCCAAGGTGCATGCGGATCCTTCACAGAAATTGGAGCGATTCTCTGTCACAGAGAGGTGTTTGCGTGATGCGGCTGAATGAATGGATCCGGCCACCAATGCAGGTACGTGGTCCGAGGACATGTAGTCATGTCCGTGGAACACGACTACATGCGGAGAAGTAACACGGAGGGTTGCTTTTTCCCGCCTGAGCTTTCCAATAGCCATCGGGGCTGCCCAATAGCTCTGTCCCCCCCCCCCCCCCCCCCCCCCCCCCCCAGTTCAGGGAACAGCAATAGCTTTCCACTCAAACCATCTGGAGTAGCGGTTCCCCACCTTGTTCTGGCCACGCCCCCTCAGCCTCTCTAACATCCTGACCCCCCTGGGACACGGAATTCTTATTATCCACGAAGCGAACTCCTATTCACGTGGAGGAAGCCCGAAAGGCCATGAACTTGGTCTACACAAGCTGCCAAAGAACATGGCGTCCATGAGAGAGAAAAGCGAAAGGACAGTGGACGGACTGAGGGAGAAATCACTAAGAAAATGTTTTAAAAATAATAATAAAAACATGAAGTGATATGAAAAAATAGCAAGTAAAGTTTCCAAACGTAGAATAGAGAACTGAAATGCATAAATATGTCATATATATTTACTAGAGGCCCAGTGCACGAAATCCGTGCGCGGGTAGAGTCCCTAGGCCTGGCCGGTGATCAGGGCCTATCGAGTCCTTCCATCTGCTGGCCAGGGCCAGGGCCTTCCTTCCCCGGCTGCTGGCCGCAGGTCGGGGTCTTCCTTCATTCTGCGCTGCCCCCTGGTGGTCAGTGCACCTCATAGCGAGGGGTCAAACTCCCGCGGGGACAATTTGCATATTAGCCTTTTATTATATAGGATAGACTGTCGGTGAGGCCCCTAGAACCCTAAGAAATGCAAAAAACTCATTGCATTTCTGAATTGCCTCTGTGAAATCAATCTGAACTCCCTTCCTCTCTGAAATCAATAAAAAATATATCCTAGAACCCTAAGAAATGCAAAAAATTCATTGTGAATAACTCATCCTCGAATTGCCCCCTTGAACGTCAAATTGCCCCCCCTTGAGGCATGTGCCCCATGTAGGGAACCACCGGTTTAGAGAATAATAGAAAAAAATTTACTTTAAAAAGTTTTGTTTTTTTTATATATATATATTATTGATTTTTTACAGAGAGGAAGGGAGAGGGATAGAGAGTTAGAAACATCGATGAGAGAGAAACATCGATCAGCTGCCTCCTGCATGCCCCCTACTGGGGATGTCCCCGCAACCAAGGTCCATGCCCTTGACCAGGAATCGAACCTGGGACCCTTCAGTCCGCAGGCCGACGCTCTACCCACTGCGCCACACCGGCCAGGGCTTGGTTTGTTTTTGGGTTTTTTTTTCAGTTAAACCATTGCCTTTGCAGCTCCTAAGTGGACTCTGCTCAATCGATGTCAGAGGCTGCTATTTGGAAAGTCATGGCCTTTGATCATATGAATCCAGCTTTGGACAAAGACAGAGCTATTTGGTGTGGGGGACAGAGCCACGGTCCCCCAGCGCTGCCCACATCCTGTTCTCCGAACCTGTGATCATGTTATGGGAGGGCCTTAAGGATGCTCATCTGATGGCCTTACACTAAAGGGGTTAGTCTCAAGCTCCAGCCGGGAAGGGGAGGCGGAAGGGGCGGGGTCAGGGCCGGAGACAGACCCACCGAAGCCATGCCCTGCTCTGCCGATGGGGGCAGGGCCAGGAGCCAAGGATGTGGGTGCCTCGGGAGCTGGGAATCCAGGACATAGACCCTCCCCCAGCTCCAGGAAGGAATGTTCCCTCGGCCAACACCGTGAGTGCAGCCGTGTGAGACCCCCTGTGGACTTCTGACCCTCAGAACTGTAAGAAAATAACCCGGGCCTGGCCGGTGCTGATCAGTGGGTAGAGCGTCAGCCTTCGGACTGAAGGGTCCCAGGTTCGATTCCCCATCAGGGCACAGGCCCGGGTTGTGGGCTCGATCCCCAGTGGGGGGCGTGCAGGAGGCAGCCGATCCATGGTTCTCTCTCATCATGGATGTTTCTATCCCTCTCTCCCTCTCCCTTCCTCTCTGACATCAATAAAAAATATATCCTATATAATAAAAGCCTAATATGCTAAGTGTCCAGTCGTCTGGTGACCGGTCAACTGTCCAACCAATCAAAGCGAAATATGCTAATGATATGCTAAGGCCACTCAACCACTTGCTGTGACGTGCACTGACCACCAGGGGGAAGACAGTGGAATGGTCGACCAGTCGCTATGATGTGCACTGACCACCAGGGGGCAGACACTCTGACCGGTAGGTGAGCTTGCTGCTGGGGTCCGGCCGATTGGGACTGGGAGAGGACTCGCCTGGAGCCCTCCCACGGCCCCTCCCCGGCCGGATCGTGCACCTGTGGGGTCCCTCGGCTTGCCCTGTGCCCTCTCGCAATCCGGGACGCCTCGGGGGATGTCAGAGAGCCGGTTTCGGCCCGATCCTGCAGGCCACTCCCCTCAGAAGGGCACCAGACACAAGGAACAGGGCTGGCGAGCACTGCTGTGACAGTGCAAGCCTCTCCCGATCGGGACTGATTGGGCGCGAGCCCGCGGCAGGCACAGTGGGGCCGGGATGAGCGGGAGCAGCAGGTAGGAGCTGCAGGCGGCGTTGGACTGCGGGTTTCGGCCGGATCCCCGCAGGCCACCCCGAGGGACCCCACCTGTGCACGAATTCGTGCACCGGGCCTCTAGAATATACATAAAAAAGAAAGAAAGAAAAGCTGATTGTGTTAAGCCCCCGCTCTTGTGGCCATTTGTCACAGCAGCGAAAGAAGACGAATGCCTTTGCGTTTGTTTAGACTTCGTTTCTTTTGTGCCAAAAGCTTGGTTCTGACGGCAGAGAGCCAAGCCCGGGGGACTCAAATCACACATCCTATGCCGTCAGCCCACAGCTGGGGGAAGAAGCTGTGACGATAAAAGAGCAGTTGTTTCCTTGAGTAAAAGGCGATGAAAGGCGCCCCAGCCAGAGCGAGGAGGGGGTCACCCTGAATCGGCAAAACCCATGGTCCTTCGTCCGCAGACGTGGGGCCCAAGGAGAGACATAGTTCAAGTAGAGACATAAGGAAGGCTGCATGTTTATGCGTGACTTTTAAAAATTATAAATATTTTCATGGATGTCAGAGAGGAAGGGAGAGGGAGAGAGAGAAGCATCCATGATGAGAGAGAATCATGGACCGGCTGCCTCCTGCACGCCCCCCACTGGGGATCCAGCCCGAAACCCGGGCCTGTGCCCTGACCAGGAATCGAACCCTGGCCTCCTGGTTCAGAGGTCGATGCTTAACCACTGAGCCACGCCGGCCGGGCAGTATACATTTTTAAAAATTGATTTCAGAGAAGAAAGGAGAGGGAGAGAGAGAGAGAGAAACATCAATGATGAGAGAGAATCATGGATCAACTACATCCTGCACGTCCCACACTGGGGATCGAGCTCACAACCCGGGCGTGTGCCCTTGACATGGAATCGAACCCGTGACCCTTCAGTCTACAGGCCGACACTATCCACTGAGCTAAACTGGCTTGGGCCATTATCATCATCATCATCATTATTATTATTATTATTATTTTGTAAACAGCCTGTGAGGTGCATGTCCAGATGTGTACAGAGGCTAAACCTGGCTAGTGGATCATGAATGCTTTTTATTTCTTTTCCTCTGAATTTTCTAATTTCTTTTTCTTTCCTTAAAAGGCACAGGTTTGCTTCTTGGTTAAATGAAAAGGTGACGTCATATACATACCGGAGGCCCTGGTCCTGGGA